CCTGGCTAATTTTTAAAAATTTCTGTGGAGATGGTGGTGGGGAGGCTCTCACTGTGTTGACCAGGCTGGTCTTGAACTCCTGGCCTCAAGCAACCCTCTCACCTCGGCTTTCCAAAATGCTGGGATTACAGGCATGAGCATACTACGTCCAGAGATTTATCCAGATCAGTCCTGATTTGCCTCTGGATCGAGGCTTATACTTGAACCACAAAATTGGACTTCTGCAGGCAATAAAGAAGGTGATTAAGGATACTGAGTAGGTCATCGCCAGTATCTGTATAGTGTGAAATGGTGGACCATTGAGAAGAAGACTTTATAGTCATAAAAGTTAAAATTTCTGAGTTTGAAGGTCGTTAATTGAACCATTAGCACTCTCTTCTTGTAAATTTGACCAAGGGGAGTTCTTTTGTTAGTTGTTTTTTTCAGGGGAGATGGTGAAGATGGGGGAGATTGTTTTTAATTTATAACTCCTGGCCAGGAGCGGTGGCTCACGCCTGTAACCCAGCACTTTGGGAGGCCGAGGCGGGTGGATCACCTGAGGTCAGGGGTTCAAGACCAACCTGGCCAACGTGGAGAAACCCCGTCTCACTAATAATACAAAAATTATCTGGGCATGGTTGTGGGCACCTGTAATCTCAGCTGCTTGGGAGGCTGAGACAGGAGAATCACTTGAACCTGGGAGGTGGAGGTTGCAGTGAGCTGAGATCACGCCACTGCACTCCAGCCTGGGTGAAAAAGTTGACTCCGCCTCAAAATAATTTTTTTTTAACTTCTGTATTATCCATTTTTGTTTGACCACCTAGAATCTACTTTCTCCATCTATGCTGAACACATCCAACCCTAGCCTTCCATCTGAAAAACAGGTCCTCTGCTCACCTCCTCCTTTTACTCCAACTACTCCCTCTCTCCGATGCTTCTCCCCAGTCTCGCTCTAATCACATGGCTCTGCTTGTGCTGTTTAGGAGAAAGCAGAAATCATTAACCTCTTAACCAGCTCTTGGCATCATAAACTGACCTGACCATAACTACGTCAGTCTTTTGTTCTTCCCTCTCCTTGAAAGTTATCTTTCTCCAGACATCCTGGGGAGTTTTCACATTTATTCAGTAAATACTCAAAAGTGTTTACTGAATAAATGCATTTATTCTGTCCCTTCTCCAGCCTTTTTTAGCCTGCACCTCTGTGTGGGCTCAAGGAGGTTTTAAATGTATCTTTGGTCCCCCTTGCTCAGCCTTAAAACAGTGGTCTGCAGATATTTGTTTCCTATTTTTTAACAGCTTTATCGAGACATAATTTATGTAGCTCAATATATGCCATAACAGTTGCCTGTTTCTAAGTGCAGAAATCAATTACTTACAGTGAATTTATACAACTGTGAAAACAAGACACAATCCAGATTTAAAGTGTTTTCATCAACCCCCCAAATATCATCTCCCATGTCCACTTGCAGCCAATCCCCATTCCTTAGCCCCAGGCAGCCACAATCTGCTTTCTGTCTCTATAGAGTTGCCTTTAAAAAATATTTCATATAAATGGACCGTATAATATAGTCTTTTCTGTCTGGCTTCTTTTTTCTTTTTCTTCTTTAATTTTTTAAGACGGGGTTTCACCATGTTGGCCAGGATGGTCTCTATCTCCTGACCTCATGATCCACCCACCTTGGCCTCCCAAAGTGCTGGTATTACAGGCGTGAGTCACCTTGCCCGGCTTTTCTTTTTTTTTTTTTTTTTTT